TAAATAAACTCCGTCTTCTATGAAACCCAAACGTTCACTGCCGTGTTTAAAGAGCTGGTTAGTGGTTCCTATTTTGAACCAGTTGAATTCAGTCCGCACCCTCGCGAACTTATTCTTTAAGATAATTTTAATAATATCCTCCGTAGCGGTCTCTTGCTTTAAAATTTTCGACAAATTCTGTATTCATGTCTCATGGCTGCCATGTCGTGCTCTGGCTTAAAACAGTCCCCCACCTACATCATCGCCCTGATGATGGAGGCATAAATGACCTCTGAAACGTCGGTAAACTTCACAGCAGTCCAGAAGATAGCCATCTTCAGACTTACCGCCATGAAAACCCCAAATCCTACTCAGTATTTCGTTCTGCTTTTTCTAAAAGAATCAGTTACCACTGTTAGCAAATTTCTAACATCAGCCATATTTTCAATTCGATCTGATAGTGAAGTTTAATGTCTTTAAGGCATACAAAAATGCACCGTTTGTTTACATTTCAAATATTTTTCTCGTATATAATTCTATTTTCCAGGATATGAATATTTTTGGGATATAATTTTCTTTTTATTCTTTACTTTTTGCTCGCAATAATGTATAAAATAAATTAAATAAAAAATAAAAAACGCATTTTGGGAATATAAGAACAGACAGAGTCTGGAGCCCGCGAGGCTTCAGGCTGCTAACGACACCCAACTGCAGGAGACATCGCAAACAGCTCTCGGAAGTTGTGGAGTGTCAACATCGCTGATCGCCGTGAAGCGTCTTATACCGAAGTTTCCATTGAATCGTGTTACTCTATTTGTGAAAATAGATGAAACTTTTTTTTTCTAGAAATCCAAATTCTCCAATCGGTTTTATGTTATTGTTAGGTGATTCCAATAATAATATCAAGTAATAAGACTCAAAATAAAATGCATTTAAGAGTGAAGAATGTTTTGCAAGCGTCTGGGTCCATGAGGGAACCGGTACCTATAAGACGTTTTCAAATATCTGGCGAAATTGTGCGGTAGATTTTGGGAAAGGAGATCCAATATACTGTACACTACACTGTAGGTTGACTCTGCGACTTTTTATAATAAAAACAATTCAAACACAAAATGATAATATGGGCATAATGCTTATGACAATTATTTTGTCGATAAATTAATCAATCTATGTTTTAGTTCATTGTCCATATACCAAGAGTCTCTGATTACCAAATTGGAGTTCATTTTTCTAACATTATCTACAGTACCAAACACTGTGGTTGAATAGTTATAACACCCAAATCTTAAATCGAAATGTCCTGGAATCAGGCCTATTCCCGGAAATAGATTAATTTGAGGACACGAATCAATCCTTCCTTCCTCGTCGTTTACAATGCATCATTAAAAAAAATCACTCATTATTGACGATATATAATCAGTGCAGGTGATTAAGCGTTGTTAAATTCATTCAAAAATTTCTTTTTAGTAAGATCGGTCACACGAAGACCTAATAACGTTTCTTCGCTGGGAAATTCCCCGGCGATTCAGAAAGGTCAAACGCCTAATTCTGGCAAATCTGTTACATCATGAATACATCTAACAACTTCTTTGGTGTGCTTCAAAGCGAGACGTGAATTTGATCTGCAGAATCCCATGAAACACGAGAGTTCTGTTCAGGAGCAGTGCCCACTCCGTTTGCGTTCCGCGACAGATTCTGGTCAACCTAACCTATCAGACTGTACCCTGACAACCCGCAAGATACACAAACTTTGGCTGTCGCCAGCTTCAGCCTGCCGTTCGCTTCGTGTGCAGTTTGATACAGCGGGCTGGAAATTGCAGCACAGACAGACGTAAGAAAAATATACAGTTCCAAACAGGCTTCTTCTCCCCTTTCTGGTTTAAATCTTCTCTGTATTTCAGCATCACTGTATATATACTGACAGGACAAACCTCGCAACACTTCGACTCCTAATACAAACATCTTCCTAGAATTATTTTTTCCACCATTTCTCTCTCTCTGTCTCTCTCTCTCTCTCTGGTCTGTATATTTGTGATGTCCTTTACTGTCGATTTGTTTTGGCATTCCATCTCCACTATCGTATTGATTTTCCTTTGCCGTTTGTTTGACAAATAGCATCATATAACTCAGTCAATTAAAATAAACAAACAAACTTTCTTTTCACGCACAGTGATTGAAGGCTCTGTAAGTAATGTGCTGCACTCTGCAGAGCTGAAGGTAAAACTTCAATAATTCCGTTGCTGAAAAGGTACTTTTCCCATAAACAAATTTGAGAAATGAATTTGGAAATTATTGTCACTCCCTAAAGGCTATCCGAAACAGCTAGCACTTAACCTTTAAAAATGGGAGATGTCACAAAAATTTGTATCAATTTGAGCGTGATTTAAACCTACGAACGCTATAATTATTTTTGGGGTGGGTGGGTGGGGGGTTAATTAAAGTTGTTAGTAGCTCAGAGCGTACAGAGTTCATCTATACAACGATTATTAATAAGAGACGAACTGAAAGGCCATGGACGCAAAAAGCCGTGGCCTATTTTAAGATATTATTAGGGCATTTGTTTAGAAGGACTGAGGAAAACCGCGAGACATTTCAGTTCAAATATTTTAACCTGGACATCTAAAATACGAGGCTGCGAAGTTCTTTTTGTTTAAAAGTACTTTATTTGCGAGTCACATTCAGCCTAGGTTTTATTTTTACAACCAAAAATACACCATCGTGAAAAGTAAGTTCTGGAATTCGATGCAGGTCGGGTTCGACTCTGAGAAATACCGACCACTTTCTATAGTGGAAATGCTATATATAGAGAAGTCTGGTGTTTTTCTATGTCGTGTGGACCTCGACCTTCTGCGTCTACTCGCTCGGACACGTGGTGTCAGCTGTCTGCTCTTACACGCAAAAAAAAAAAATATATCGGCACAGAACACACGAAGTGCAACGCATCGAATTCCATTATCAGAAGATTGTTCACTAGAAATAAAATTTAACTCGTAAATAATACAAAGTGACATAGTAATTAAAATATAAACTGCAGACTGTTCAGTTAGAGACTTCGTGTTTTCGCTGTTACGAGAATTAAGAGTATTTTGGGATGTGTCGTATATTCTGGTAGAAACTGACCGACGTTTCAAAGATCCTTGCTACATCCATGATCAGGGAGTACTTAAAAAAAGAACGCAAATTCTTTTTAATCAGAATGTGGAATTTCTGAGAGTTTTATAGCAGTGTTTATAATCATAGGAATATAATGATAAGATGATAAGTGTTTAAATACGTCTTCACCTCTTGTGCATTTAAAATGAAGCTGCTTCCTTGAGTTGCATGTTCCATGCACCTGTCTGTATGACCGCGTGTCACATACTACGTGTAAGTTACATCTGCAAGTGTCCAGAAGGACCAGATCGTTAAAGTTTGTCATTTCCTTTGTTATTTTTTCTTTATATGCGATCTAATCAAAATTACATCCTAGACATTTACGTTACAGATCAACGAAGTCATGTAATATGATTAGACACGTAAGTCTGAATGTGTAATAATGAATAGCACGAAAATATAAGGAAATCTTACGAAAATCTCTTTATCCCGTCCACATAATGCATTTAAGAGTTTGGCATGATTCTAAAAATCAATACCGATTCTTTTCCCCCTAAACAACATTAACACACTGAACTTTGTAATCACGACTCAGTACGTTTTATTCCAGGTAAGATATAAATTATTTAAATATTATTTACAGTAATTTTTTCTACATGTCTGTTGCTGACAAGTATTAAAATATTTTTTGCTAAAATGTTTCGGTTGGTGTGACTGCGGACAGATTGCGACGGTTATCGATTGAAGTGCCTAACACTGTGCCGGAAGTGATGAGAATCCTAGTGGTATTTGATGAAGATGTCCTGAGGTGAGAGTACACATTGCATTAATCAGCGGTCAATCTGAGAGCAAACAATCTTCTGTTCCTCTCAACGGTGTTTCGAATCTCTCCAGACTCCATCTTATTCAACATCATTGAAGGACACTAGTAACGAAATATTTTTATGTACTGAGAAGCCAAAGTAGGAGATACGCGACTTCTTAACGTTTAACCTGATGCGGAAAGTAGATAATTAATTTCGTCTACGGGCAGATAATTCTGCTTTTTTTATCGTAGAATACAAATATCTAACAAGCTGACAGTCTATTATCCAAAAAGAAACTTCTCTTCTGGAAAACCAAAGTCTGTTGCCGTGTTCATACATCCCCGCGACTGAATTCTACACCGGTCCAGATGAATCCATATTTAATTAATTAATTAATACGCCTAATTACGATATAAACTAATACGGAAGAGAGGTAATGAATGACGGAGTAAAACGCTGTTAACATCAATTTCACGCGCAACAGGCATTACTGTGTAGATCATGAAATAAAAAAACTAAACGACTAAGAAATGCAGGAAGACGGTGCCAATGTATTTTTGGTCGATTTAACTTCTGAAAACACTACAAAAGGCACGATGTAGTCTTGGCAACAGACCGTGCGACTGAGGCGTGTAACTTGCTGTCTCATAAGAAGATAGATGGCACTTCACTTCTCTCCTACCAACTTAACAATGCTTCTTGAGATTTACTTTCAATTACAGTCCAGCTGTTGTGTGACTGGATTAGTTAAAACTCTTTCTTATATCATGTACAGGGATCCTTTTTTGCCAAGATGGATGAAACTTTATGCAGACGTGTAATTTTTGTGAAGCTAATAGTTTCTTTACAAGTCATTATAACAAACGTGAAGGGTGATAACTATATTCACAAGGGTCGTACACTGGACTCTATTCAGAGGTAGTAAATAATACCTTACATGAAGTCAAAGTATTCAAATTAAGCCTAGGCTAAATGACGAATTGCAGCCAACTGAATTTTCGTTAAGAACATATGACCGATCGCACTTGGATAAGGTATTGTACAGTTATTAATAATAAAAATAATACTAGTATTAGCAGTATTATTATTAATAATAACAATAAAAACTGAAACAGCACTCACTTTTCCAGTATCGCCGCCCCGCTGAAATCTGCTTCATCATGGCGTCCAGCATAAAAAACGAAGTTACACACGATTCTAACTTACGCCTTGTGGTAGTGGCAGGAGGACACAGTTCACTATGAAGCAGCTGTTTAATTCCATATTCAACCACTTGTTCACAACAGTAGCCCTGATGATTAATGATAACGAAGTAAAACCTGACGTAAACTGTGCAAGTTTCAACATGCTTAGTGTTTATACGTCCAAGTCGTCTCACTGATAATTTATGAAAAACTACTGTCTACATCTGCCACCTGGCGAGGATATGATGAGTTAGAGTATTTTCCCATAATTCGCTAGTGATACCTTTGTTTTGTCAAGGTCATAGTGGTGAGAAGTGTTGTGGAAAGAACGTGTGCTAACTGTGTGTGGATTTTGTTGAAGTTGATAAGAAGGATGCACTATTTTGGTGAGTAAGAGATCCTAGTTTGTGTTAATACATTAAGGAAGTACATACATTTATGCGTACGTAAAGAATCTTTCAATCATTTCCAGTCTCCACGTATTCGTTAGCAACGCGCATATTAACACGTATAATTTCTGCGACGATAACGTTTCTCAAAGCGTTGCAGTGCGAGGCTGTCAACGATTTACATAATTCTAGTGATAGCTTTCCTTGTTTGTTTGCTGCTTTAGAATACACACGAATAAAGTTGATCCATTAACCTTGGGTAATTTCTCGCACCAGCTCATGACGTAGGGTGGAGTTTCCCAAACTACGGCCGTGGTACCCCAGAGGGCAGTGGAGGGTCGGATGACTTAATTATAATACACATAAATTGATAAGAAAAATGCTCACATCAAATTATACATATACAATTTTATATAGGTTTAAGGTTTACTTATAATTATTTTTGGCATTGATAAATCACATCTTAAATCATGATTGTAGGATGGGGGCATCAAACTTTTTATTTACATCCATAAAGCCTCTTACTAAACGAATTATGGAAGCAATGATTTATTCTACCTAACGATCATTTAGCTTAAGTCACTCCCTTAAAATGTAAGCTTCTGAGATCTCAATACAGTCTGCTCGTTAAGTTAGTAGCTCAAATTATATGATGTCGGAAAACAGGATGATCAGTGAATAATGTATTGGAAAGGATACGAAAGGAATCGTTTGTAATGTAATATAAGATATCCTGGTACTTGTATGGATGGACTGAGGTAAACCACGAGATACCAAACTCAGGATAGGTGAGCTCCGGGCCGAGACTTTATATATATTATATTTTATTGTGGTTAGGTTTGTCCAGAAGTTTACGTACAGAAAGATCACGTCTCCCTCAAAATTTTTCTTTTTGCCATTTCATTCGAAGTTACAAAACTCCTACAGATCTAAAAAGCGTAACAAAAGGACCTGTAAGTTATGTTTAAACTTTGATAATGAGTTACTAAAAGAAGTATATATGTGGAGTACATATACAATTTTAAATTTCTCTAAATAGAACATCTTACGTTTCTGAGCAAACTTATGGATCCTAGAATGGCTGTCTTCTGGGTTGTAACGCCGTGTAGTCTGGTACAAGTTTACCAACGTTTCATAGGACCTTACTGCCTCCATCGTCAGGGAGGTCATCGCCTTGTGAAACGAATATCTTACATATGGCTACTAAATATGTTTTTAAAAACCGACGTTAATTAACCTAGTGATTTAGATGAAGTGTTTTATAGTAGCTATTAATAATTTTTGTTGCGATAAAAATAACCTCTAATCCCACAGCATTTAATTTAAATTTTCTTAAAAACAATTTTTTTATATGTATTTTATACCCTTAGAAACTATATATTATGTCTTAAACAACTGTAAAAGAATACGTTATAATTAAATTCTATTACGTAAACTAAAGTCTAGAACAGAACATTTTAAATGGTCCTAAATCGATGGAAACGAATTACTTGAACACACTTGCACTCGAATCACGAATGCTGACAGCTCCTAAGTGTTTAGAAGGCGTTTCAATGAAGTGTTATAATTACAAAACGGTACCCTCTTATTGGAATGCACTTTACGTCATACAGTCTTGTATAAAATATACTATATACCAACATATGATTTTACACAGGCCACCTACAGTTCCTAGCAGGGATTAATTTACGGAAATGCGTCCCATCGAAGAGAAACCGGAAGTGATGTGATACTGAAACTTGGATGAGGTTGCGATGACTTTACAAGTAATTGAAGTTTACAGACATGTCCTTTCCACACCAGGCTCGTACACCGGACTGGATGTTAATGTGCCTGGCTGCTTTCGAGGAAACTCTCGTCATTCATTTTACATGCCTGTATATGCTACTGGTGCTGCTACTGGTGCTGCCTTCCCGAACTTTCGCCCTTCACTTAAAGCTGCTAGACAAAACCACAAGAGATTCTGGGAAGTCGACGTGACAGGCAGCTCGTTAAGAGTCTTATAAGGAAGGGTGTTTCACGGCTGTAAAAGGGGATGGAACTGCCCCTTATGTGTAGTCGAATTGTACCGTAGAAATATCATGAGTTTTAGACGTAGGTATGCTCGGTATATACGTGTTTAATAGTACGTCATTTATTTCTGTACACTGCAGACAAGGCAAATACAATTATGTAAGGTGGTCTTTACTTATTTTGTCAGTAAACGTTTCTAAAATTACGTTTTACATGTTAAATGGCACCGTTGTCAAAACAAAGCTGAACGTCCTCAGAGTGTGAGAGGGTGAGATCTCTGGATGAGAGATGCATCTACGCGTATATTGAATAAACACTGTAGGACGTCAGCTAAAGGCCGATGATCATCCAGGGGGGGTAAGAATCCGTCACCCTGATAACTGGCATGTTACGTTGGGCCTTGAATTCGGTCGTAGTATTCGGGGTGGCAAACGAAAAAGAATGGGCACGATGTATTTGGCACAGGACAGAATTCACTGATGGATTCATGTAAATGCGATTATTAAACTTTGGGTTCCGTAAAATGTAGGGAATTTGTTGAACAGCTGAGCAACTGAAACATCTTTAACAAGTAATCTGTTAAACTGAGATCGTTGTTTAGCAAAGTCTGTATTACTGTAACCGTGTTTTTTCTATCCTAATTAAAATTTGATTTCGTGATCCCTTCATATAGTAGATTATTATTTATTTATTTGTTTGTAGTGTTCTGTCTGACGACAGGTCCATATGAACAGGATCCTTCCATCCTTTTCTCGGACTGGGACCTGTTCATATACGTTCTTGGCAGATGATCCAGAAGTGCTTTGCCATTGCCTTCTTCTGTGTGTGAACGAAGTAATTGTTGGGATGCCACGGAGGAAAACTCCGGGCTGCCTAGACCACGGCCTTGCCCACCACAAGTTATAAATTCGGGCACCGCCGGGAATCGAACCCGAGACCCCAGGATTACAAGACCAGCGTTCTAACCG